TGTCTGTCTGTCTGTCTGTCTGTCTGTCTGTCTGTCTGTCTGTCTGTCTGTCTGTCTGTCTGTCTGTCTGTCTGTCTGTCTGTCTGTCTGTCTGTCTGTCTGTCTGTCTGTCTGTCTGTCTGTCTGTCTATCTATCTATCTATCTATCTATCTATCTCTATCTATCTATCTATCTATCTATCTATCTATCTATCTATCTATCTATCTATCCATCCGTCCGTCCGTCCGTCCGTCCACCTACCCACCCACCCACCCACCCACCCACCCACCCACCTATCTATCTATCTATCTATCTATCTATCTATCTATCTATCTATCTATCTATCTATCTATCTATCTATCTATCTATCTATCTATCTATCTATCTATCTATCTATCTATCTATCTATCTATCTATCTATCTATCTATCTATCTATCTATCTATCTATCTATCTATCTATCTATCTATCTATCTATCTATCTATCTATCTGTCTGTCTGTCTGTCTGTCTGTCTGTCTGTCTGTCTGTCTGTCTGTCTGTCTGTCTGTCTGTCTGTCTGTCTGTCTGTCTGTCTGTCTGTCTGTCTGTCTGTCTGTCTGTCTGTCTGTCTGTCTGTCTGTCTGTCTGTCTGCCTGCCTGTCTGTCTGTCTGCCAGCCTACCTGTCTGTCTGTCTGTCTGTCTGTCTGTCTGTCTGTCTGTCTGTCTGTCTGTCTGTCTGTCTGTCTGTCTGTCTGTCTGTCTGTCTGTCTGTCTGTCTGTCTGTCTGTCTGTCTGTCTGTCTGTCTGTCTGTCTGTCTGTCTGTCTGTCTATCTATCTACCTATCTATCTATCTATCTATCTATCTATCTATCTATCTATCTATCTATCTATCTATCTATCTATCTATCTACCTACCTATCTATCTATCTACAATGCACTTACCCATGCTCATTTGAAGTTCGATGTGAAATGGAGACTTTCAAAGAAGGTACTGAGAAACTTTCAAGACAAGGGCAACACCCGTCAATATGCTCAAGAGATTGAGCCACGAATGCCAATTTAAATTTAAAACTTGCCCAAGTCAGAAACGGGAGGAATTTCTTCCGCGAATCGGCGGCAGTTCGGCCCGTGGAAAAGGGCCTATTTATTCTTAGAACTCACTTACCTGTGAGTGAATTCAGAACATAACTCACTCCCAATAGATTCAGGAACGAAGAAAGTACTTATCCCGACATCTTGAACATTACTTATCAAAGAAGGACTATACACTTATGGAGGAAGATTCCATTTCGTGGGCCGAAACATTTGTCGACGAGAGATTACTTCTACTGATGTTTGGTAGACTCCTGCTGTACATGCTCCCCTGTGGAGTTTCTTGTTATTATCTTCTTCTTCTTCTTCTTTCGTTCGCCTGAAATAAGTTGTCTATATCAGCAGTTTTGTCTCTTGTATAAATTTCACTGTCGTTGTTAGTTCATTCTGTGGTCCATAGAGTTTACGTTCCACTGTTATTCTTTCTGGTCAAAATGTTTGCCTTAATGTGTCAAATTCGGTGCAGTCCTGGAGTACGTGCTCTGCTGTCTGGGGCACATGTCCACAGGTGCACATGGCTGCTACACCTATCTTGAATTTTGTGTACATGTGGTTACGTAATCGGTTGTGCCCTGTTCTGAGGTGGAGGATAATGACTTTTGCTGGTCTGTCCATAAAAAAAATAATCGTCTTGTGCTGGGGCTGGTTGTTTTCTGATCGATTTAATGATTTTTTTTTTTGGGGGGGGTGGTATGTGACTAGGACATCCGACTGCTCTTTTGTCGCACCTTCCCCTGCCAGTTGATCAGCTTTCTCATTTCCAGGCACTCCACAATGAGATGGTATCCACTGTTTTCCCAGCTTTCTCCATTTCTAATATGGGGGTTGATTTCACCCCTCCTGTGATGACTCTGAGCGCTTGATTTTGCACTTTGTTCAACTCCTTTAATGTGGTACTAGATGCTGAACACCATGCAGTTGACCCATATTCCTAGTGTGGAAGTATGCTCTGCTTACTTTATGTATACTTTATTGAGTATTTTCCCATCGGCTCCCCATGTGGTTCCACTTAGTTTTCTTAGTATTGTTGCCTTCCTCCTGGCTTTGGTTGCTGCCTTGTTGATATGTTTTCTCCATGTCAACCTGTCATCAAATGTGACTCCTAGGTATGTGGGCTCTTTATCATCTCTTAGGGGTATTCTGTTTATTTTGATGATGCCCGCTTTTTGCTTTGGGGAGAGGGTGAAGAGTGTGGTGCTACATTTGTGTGTGTTGATGCTGACACACCATCTATTGGCCCATGCCTCAAGTGCATTTGTAGCCCGCTGTAGTGTTTTTGTGGCTATTGTTGCATGTTCATTGGTGCACCACAGTACCAGGTCGTCGGCATACATTGCCATTTTGATTCCATTTGGTATTTCAGCAACCAGGTCAGCAACCAGGTCGTTGATGAATAAGAGGAAAAGTGTGGGCGACAGGACATCACTTTGAGGGACGCCTTGTCGCAGTAGAACTTTTTTACTTTTAAAACCATCTACCTGTACCCGGGCTCTTCTGTTATGTAGATATGCTTTAATCCAATTGTACATTTTTTCATTTATTTTATAGTTTCTCAATTTCTTCAAAAGCCCCTCCTTCCAAACCTTATCAAAAGCTTTCCTTAAATCTATCCATGCCGCGAGTACCAGTTTCTTATCTTGAAAAGCATCCTATATTTCTTGGGAGAGGTATGTTGTCTGGTCTTCCGTAGAGTAGAACTTTCTAAAGCCCGCCTGCTGTGGTGTAATGATGTTTTCACTTTCAATGTACCACTGTAGTCTGAGGTTGGTGATGCGCTCCATTGTTTTACAGAGACAGCTTGTGAGGCTGATCGGTCTGTAATTGGAGGCATTAGAACTGTCTTTTCCAGGCTTTATGAGGGGTATCATAATTGCCTCTCTCCAGATCTGTGGAACATTCCCTGTTGCTCAGCAAGCATTAAATATCTGTAAAAGCTTTGTTTTGGCTACTGTTCCAAAGTTTCTGATCATTTCGTTTGACATCCCATCTGCTCCTGGTGACTTCCGCATTTTCAGCTTTGAAATGGACAACTCCAGTTCATTAAGTGTAATTGGCACCTCTAGCGCCTCTGATGTTATTTCTTTCTGACTTCTAAATTGTGTCTTTTCTTGAATTTCGTGTTTTTTCTCTGAACTGATTTCAATGTCGTTATCTAAAGCAAAATTGTCCGCGAATAGGTTGGCTGCCTCTTTTCTTGTGACCATGTTTCCATCTTTCTGCAGCGTGATCTTTGAGTTCCACCCTGTGTCCTCATCATTAATTTGTTTCACAAGCTTCCATAACTTTCTTGTGTCTTTTTCAAAGTTCAGTGACCTTGTTTTCTCCTGCCAGCTTTCCCTTCTAACCTACAGCTTTGCCCTTACAAATTTTGCTTTTGCATGCTGGTAGTTATTGTGATGTTCTTGGTTTGGCCTGGTCTCTGCTATCTTTCTGGATGTTTCTACTTCGTTATGTAAATTTTCTAGCTCATTACTCCAGTATGGCTTATAATGCTTACGGGCACCTCTTGGTATTGATTCTCCTGCTGCCTTTAGTACGCATTTGTTAAATTCTTTAACTACTTTGTTTATATCCTGGTCTACGCTGAGACTTCCAAGCAGTAAACTGGTACTGTGCTTGAACATTGTCCAGTCAGCCTTCTTGTAGTTCCACCTTGGCAGCGTACTAGTTTCTCTGACCTTCTCATTTTCTACATTCAGGAAGACCGGTCGATGGTCATTGCCTCACAGTTGATTTCCAACAACTCGCTTAATGTTCCATTCCAGATCTGGAGAGTGAAATGCTAGGTCTGGGGTAGTAGTGGTGTGCCACGACCTCGAGTAGAATGTGGGTGGATCAGTTGGCCTATTAATCAGAACAAGTCTGTTCTCATCCTTCTTCTTATTATTGAAATAAGATAATTTGCATGTAGGGGTACAAGATATGGTCAGGTTTAAGTACAGAGAGTTATTTCCTCTCCATGACATTTTAGGTCAGAACAGTAGGAAACAAAAAAAAACAAAAAAAAGAAGAAGAAGAAGAAGAAGAAGAAGAAGAAGAAGAAGAAGAAGAAGAAGAAGAAGAAGAAGAAGAAGAAGAAGAAGAAGAAGAAGAAGAAGAAGAAGAAGAAGAAGAAGAAGAAAAAAAAGAAAAGAAGATCTCCTTTCTCCTTGCCTATAGTATTCTGAAAATCTTTCTTTATAATTTTAGCCCCATTTTTTCTTTACAATATATCTTTGTTTATCTTTATTTAATTAGTTTATAACAAAAGTTATAAAACGTTAATAAGACCAGTCGTTTTATATGGCTATGAAACCTGGAGAACAAGTATAAGAGATGAAGCCTTATTACAGGTTTTCGAAAACAATCTTAAGACGAATTTTTGGACCCGTCAAAGATGCAAACAGCGTCTAATGGAGAGTGAGAAGCAACAATGAAATTCACAATCTGTTTAAATCACCACTGATCACTGGCATTATGGAGCTAATAGACTGAAATGGTTTGGGCATATTGAGAGAATGTCAGAAAACAGAGAAGTAAAAACTGTATACACAAGGGAGATGAATGGTTGTAGACCACGAGGCAGACCAAGAAGACGATGAAGAGATAATATCCAGAAAGATCTGCAAACACTTGGTATCACCAACTGGAAAGAGAAGGCCAACCAAAAAGATGAATGGATGCGGGTGATATCTGCAGCAATAAACCTCAAGGAATCGGGATGCTGAAGAAGATAACTAAAGTAATAATGCGAGAGACTTTTTAACCGGTTAAAGATCACGTGACGGAAACCAAGAGCAGAAGTTAAAAACAAAAACGCGTTGACGTTAGAAACTAAACCATCAGACATCTAAACATCCAAGTTTATCCCCGTTCTTCGGTTTCCTGCATTTATTTCTGTCAGCTTTAGCAGCCAGGAGCAGGCCGGTGTCTTCATTCACCTCTCTGATCACTGGAAGGAATGTTCATGGCGACGGAGGAGTTGGCAGCCAAGCTGAACAGGCGGAATTTAATTAACGAAGTGAAGGAGGGCAGCGCCCATTTGTTGCCATCCAACAATATTTTCAACCCTTATACGGAATTTAAGGAATTTAGCAGGAAACAAATTCAGGATTTTCAGAAAATATTCAACAAGTAAATTTTAGCATTTATTTTTACCACAATTGAATTATTGCAAATGTCAAAAGTCCATACCCACACTGAACTGATTTTAAATTGCTTCTTAGCCGCTCTTTTTTAACATTAGCACTATTAATAATTAGCGTTTACCGTTACCGGCTGTAAACTCCAGGGGAAGGTAGTTTTGGTTGTTCTAACTCTGCACTAAAGTCTTTTACTCCATGACCTGAGTTTTGCGTGCGTATCCATTTTACAGGTGTGCTTTTTTGTATGCAGACTGTTGGTTCCTAGCCTCTCAGACAGGTGCACTCACTCCGACTGGTGACTTCTTTGAAGGAAAACCACTAATTAGCAGCGTAGCCTTTTACGATATGCTGTGGGGGAGGGGGGGCAGAGGGTTTGTTTTGTTTTCTCAATAAAGTAAATCAGAAGAAACATGTATGTTTCATACTAAAATGCTGCTAAAGTTCAAATATATATACATCATTAAAACAGTGGCACCACAACAGGCATATGATGCTAGACAGACTATAGATCAGTTTGCACTGTTGATGATGTGGTCAACATCACACCAGCTGCCTTTAGTTCCCAGGACATTGCATGTACCAATTTTAGGCTGGGATTCAATGTCAGTTTTGACAGGAAAAATCCACCATGATGTAGATTTGAACCTCAGACTTTCAGGCCAGCGGGTGATTGTCTAGTCATAAATCTATTGTTTCCACCATATCCCATCAGTGAGGATAATAATTAATGTGTCTAAGTGCTAATGGTAACCACTTTTTTACAGATAAATGATTTTATAGAACATCAAAGAATTGAATGGTTTGTCATCTGGTCATAATAGAATGAAATCAGCCAGTAGCTCAAGTGTACTACATAAGAACTGCAGACTAAAATCAAGAGGCTGACCAAGAAGGAGATGGGTGGAGGGAGTTAAAGAGATGCTACAGAAACACAGCGTCAGCACAAGCTATGCAACTAGTATAAGACAGGAAACTCCTCTCTGCAATGCTTTTCTGCATAAGCCAGTGTTTCCCAAACTGCCACTGGAAGCCACGACCTCTCCAAAGGGGCGCTGCAAAATATTCAAAGATACACAAGTTGAAGTTTTTTTCAAAATCTCTTACATATGAATAGTCGGCTATCCTCTGAATAACGGTCCTAAATTATCGAGGTGGAAAATATACCCTAACAGAGCCTCAGTTACATGTCAATTGCGCACTTTCGGGGACAATAACGCTATCCCCGAATTGCAAACTTCCGTCGACTTCTGCCACCGCCAAGAGTATCCCCCATGCAGGCCGCGTGGCGTACATTGGGGCAAAACTAGATGGCTAGGACTCATGAGCAAAAAAAATGAAGGAAGCTGCCGGAAATGCGGTAGCTGCTGCTCGCGAGTCCCGGCCATCTAGTTTAGCCCCAATCCACGCGGCGTGGGGGATACTCTCGGCTGTGGTGGAAGTCACCAGAAGTGCGCAATTTAAGACGATGGAAGTGCGCAATTGACACGTGACTGAGGCTCTGTTAGGGTATATTTTCAGCCTCGATAATTCAGGACCGTTATTCGGAGGATAGCCGAAAAGTCTTACTTAGGTTAGGGGGCTGTTGAAAAATTGTAATTGAAAAAAGCGCTGTGACTAAAAGAAATTTTGGAAAGAATTGTATAAGCAGTAGGACAGAAGAAGAAGGACTTTTAAAGCTCCTCCATAAATTCACAGTGAGAGATAATTTCTATTTTCTCTTGATGTCTTTTTAAAATCACTGGTTTTTATTTTACTGAAATATGTATACATTTTTGACAGAGTGTATAAGTCTATGCAATATCATTTCAGATATGATGTTGGCAATGACAGATATATTGATTTGATGGAACTCAAGCTGATGATGGAGAAACTTGGAGCTCCCCAAACGCATATATCACTTAAAAATATGATCAGAGAGGTGGATGAAGACCATGATGATAAGATTAGCTTTAGGGAGGTATGATTGCCATTTTTGTGTCTATGTCAACAACTTGAATGCCAGTGACCCGTTATTAGGGAATTCTTCTGGGAAAAAGTACAACAATATTACATAGGTCACACATAATAACTTTGATACATATTATGGGGATTCATCAGTAAACACAAATGCAGCAGAGAATTAATTGAGTCACATCTCTTCAAGTCTAAAAATAAATCATTATAGTAACTCTTTATCCTATAACCTGGTCACATGTTAACACTATGAACATTGGTAACATTATGATGTTACCGTTTTTAATAATTTTTAACTACTATTTTTAGTAACTGCAGTAATTCAACGTTCTCTTAAACATGTTCGCATGTGCAAGCAATAACACTACTGTTAACTAGGCATTTTGTAAACAGACCACTATACCGATAAAGTGACCCTCTCAGGGAATTGGACACAACTGAAAATATTGGGTTTTGCTGCTTCTTGGGTATCAGTGTACCCATGTTGAATTAATATCAAATGGCTTGCTTCTGGCATATGCAGTCATCTTTCTGATGTATGACAAGAAGCTGTCAGAGTTCTTTTTGTCTTCCTCTCTCTCTCTTTCCATGAATCTTTGCGGTTGTCTCATGCTTGTTTTTTTTAACCTTGGCTATGACTTGAGCTGTAAAAGTTAACAAGACCAAAAGTTAAACTAATGATGGCAAGTTTTCTCAAAGCCACTGTTGTTTAGTAGTCAGCAATCTGATATCCTGACTCCATGATCCTGATTTCTTTCATTAAGATTGATATGTGACCATGTTGTTCTGAAGAGGAACCTTCCTCTTCTTCTTTTCTCTACTCCTGAAATGCCTTACAGCGTCAGGGGAGGAAGAGATCTTTAGAATAGGCCCTTCTGTTTGCTTTGTATGTAGTACTTTTCAGTGTCTGATATTTCTGCGGTCCATATTTTGCGTGGTCGATCTTTGGGTCTGTTACCATTGTATCTGTATAACATTGCTTTCTGTGGTACCTTGTCTGCTGCCAATTTCGTTACATGGCCAAACCATTTGATTTGTTGTCTACCTATAAAGTTCAGTATTGGTTCTGTGCCGATTCTTGTCTTATCATCTTTCCTGAGTAAGTCTTTCCTCGTTACACCCAGCATAGTACGTAAACATTTCATTTCTGTCATGACTATTTTCCTTCTGTCTTCTGAAGACAGTCTCCATGTTTGACATTGATAGCAGAGCGTTGGTAAGAATTTCAAAATTGGTGCTGTTTAATTGGCTTTACTGCATCTTTGTTGGATTTCTTTATTCATTCTTCCGTCTTCTAAAAAAAATGATTCGCAGATATGTAAAATCCTTTGCCTGCTTTAATTGGTGTTCATCAATTTTGATATTGGTGGTTCTTCCTTTTCTGGAGAATGTCATCACTTCTGTTTTGTCTACGTTGATCTTCATATCATAGTTGTTACATTCTGAGTGGAGTCTATTAATAAGTTCTTTGGAGCTTCCTTCAAAGTCTGAGTGCATCTGCCTAAGAGGCAAGGAACCAGCAGTCTGTATACAAATGAGTCAGATCTGTAAAACGGATGCACAGTCAGGTTCTGGAACAGGGCTGCAATCCAGAAGTGGGTCAACAGCCAGAACTTTTTGCCAGAGTTTACAGCTGGTGAATGCGAAGAAGAAGAAGAAGGTTTCTTCAGACAGCCTGGTATAATCTTTAGTAATTTTTTGGAGGTATGCTTCTTGTGTGTCAGCATTCTTCAAGTTATTGATTTTGTATGTTTCTTTTATGGTTGAATGTAGTCCTCTAGAGTCACTGGAGACAACTGGAAAGATCAGGAAATTAGTTTTTTTTTTAAGTTATGGGAATGTAAAATTTTCCTGTAAACCTAAGTGACTCTTGGCGCATAAGATGATCACAGAACACTGTCTTCTTCATGTCTGAAATATTTTATTGTTACCAGGCAAAAATCCAGAGCTCAGTAGACAAGGTGCACTGTGGAAGCAGTACATTAATTTCTAAAAAGACTAAATGTAAATAGAGCTGCTAAAGTAAATTAAAATATATATATATATATATGTGTATAGGCAGGTGAAATATTTCTGCCACAATTAATACAACTGTCTCGGTACTTAGTTGTGTCCTTTACAGTACATTGCATAACTGACCCCTACATTTTTTGGCTTTTTGTCGATTTTAGTAGGGATTGTTTACTTTCAGTAGTTTGTGATTGCTTTCTGATCGGTTGGCATTCCGATACCACTTTTAAAACCAACACAAGGCCATCTGCTGCCAGATCGAACTCGTAATTACAAAGATATCTGTAGATACAGCGAAATATGCCTGGCAGTAAAGTAAGAAGTGTATTGTTTGTGTAAACCAACACAAGGCCATCTGCTGCCAGATCAAACTCGTAATTACAAAGATATCTGTAGATACAGCGAAATATGCCTGGCAGTAAAGTAAGAAGTGTATTGTTTTTGTGTCTGTATTATTTAAATTTACAAAGGGAAAACTTGTTTGTTTGAATTGATGCAAATGTTAGTAAAACTTGTTTTATTTCCACAGTTCTTACTGATATTTCGCAAGGCAGCAGCAGGAGATTTACAAGAAGGCAGCGGCTTATATGATTTGTACAAGAACATGGATGAGATTGATGTCGATGTCCAAGGTGTCAAAGAGGCAAAGAACTTCTTCCAGGCAAAGGTAATTATGTTTCTTTAGTGTACACCTGTCAGACTAGTAGTGTGCGAAATCACTATGGGATATAAAGAGTTAATGAAGCCAGGATTTTATGATTCATGGGTGCACAGGCATTTATGTTGTGTTAAGGGGTTGTGAATGTAAACATTTGGGGCCACTGTAAGAGAGTGGAGCATGAGCCACTGGGGAAATATGTCGCTTTGAGTTCTTTATGGGCTTATGGACATCATGGGTATTGTCTGAGATAGTCTAGTGGCTAGAACAGTTACCTAATCACTAGTGATCCTGAATTTGACTCCCCCTTCAAGTGGGGATAGTTTTTGTTATGTGTCTGATAATGGGTTGGCACATACAGAAAAAGGGACGTTGGCAGCTAGATGCCCGCCTGCAAATCGGAAGGTCATGGACTTTTTTCCCGGGTCGACCCAGCCTTGAGTAGGTACTAGGTGCACTCCCGAGAAGTAAAGGTGGCCAGCGTGATGCTGACCACATCACCCACCAAGTGCTGATTGGTCTATAAAAATATAGGTCTAGCCCTATATTCCCAATACGCTTAAAGGACCTTTTTACCTTAACATACAGAAAAATAATAATTAGTAAATATAAATACGGCATAGAATTAAATGGGGTCAACTTTTATATCTCAGCTCATGTTTTTGACCCCTCATGACCCAGTCGCAGGTTACCATTATAACTGTTAAGAAATTCTGATGTCATAATTTCTATTTTTAAAAGGTGCTTTTTGTGTTTTTAGCAAATATAATCATTTCCAGTCATCCTAAACTTTTGCCCAGTTTATCTAGGCTTCACGTGAACAAGCCAGTATTTACAGGGGATTAGACCCAACCAGAAGTGTCTGGTTTGCGTTTCTATTGGCAAAAGGGTTGAAGTTGTGATTTTGTCTTAAATATTTAGCTTAAAAAACAAAATGTTGCTTTTCATGCCAGAGGGTCATCTGGCGTATGGTGCTGGACCGATTTATTTATAAACCAAAAAGCATTTGCTGATGTGGCCAGGTGCCTTGACTTCCCAGGATATTTCCCTGTGCTCAGATTTATTCTGGGTTGACCTGGGAGCCAAGGTCAGTCATAAAAAGGCAAATTCAGAGCAGATTCAACCCCCTAGACCTTAAGAGTCTGCAGGCAGCCATCTAGCCGCTGTGCAACTACAGCTCCCAGCCATAATCCTTTAGCATCGGGAACACACACACACGCAAAAATAGGTCATGACTCTCTTGTAAATCCAAAAGAAAAAATCTGTAAGCGAAAACAACAGTTTTACAGAGGTCACTAAAAAAATTTGTTTTTACATTTGTCAGTTAAAGATGTAAAGATATATGAAAGGTGTAATCAGTAAACACAAACAAGATGAAACATTTAATAGAATACATTCCCATGAGGGTTTAAAAAAAAACATGGGCATGAGATGACTCCTGCCGTGACCTCTATGACTGAGCCTTATAGGAAACTGACATCAACTAGGTAAAGTCCTGGGAAGGAAAAGCGGCCGGCGTGGTATTGCCCACATCACCCATAGAATACATCCCCCAGGGCCTAACAGAATATGTGCATGAGGTGACCTATGCCCTGACCCCATGACCTCTGTGACATAGCCTTATGGGAACTCTGACATCAACTGGGTTATAACAAAGCCAATTAACTTAAAAAATCCTCTTTAACTTAAAAAATCCCCCCCCCCCCTTTTTTTTTTTCTATGCTACTGTTAGTTAATGTATGCATACCCAGACCTCCTAAGTGTATGTACAAGTGCAAACACAGCCAATTGCATTACCAACAGGTCGCTAAGGACATGTCAGAAAAGTGACATTAATGGGAAGTTGAACCTGTCCAGAAGGGTCTTTTTTTTTTTACCTCGAGGTAAAAGGTTTAAAATAGGTACCAGGAAATGTTCTGAGATATAAAGACATTGTGTGATATTTACTGTATCTTCCATTGATTGCTAGCTGGTGTAATAAAGTAGAAGGCTAACACCATAACTAGCTGTAACTACTATAACTTTGATGGGCCAGATGTCAAGGAAAGCCTTTGCTGTGGTATACAAATATTTGCAAGTGGGACATGAATGATACATATATTGAAGTACATTCATGGGAACAAAACGGCATTCACTGTGTTGAATGGAGAGGGCAAATCAGGAAGGGAATAGTAATAAGTAAAAAGTGATTGCAGGAAAGTTGAGAGCTGAGCATCTGAGTACATGTTAAGGCAACGACAGTCCTAAAATCCCATGCTCTGATTGTGGTAGACTTTTCTTAATATGTGCATATCTTCCTAGTCACACCATGATACTCATGCCTCCACATAGCCCAGTGTAACTCTGTCATCTGGAAAGATGGAATGTGCCAACAACTATAATTAGCACAATGATAATTTTCTGAACTGAGCCGAGTTAAGAGCCTGAGCCCCTTCCCATAACTGCTCCATCCCCATCTTCAGCAGTCACCTTGGAGTTCTAGCTCTAATGGTACCAGTAGCAATCTGATTGTATGTCCATCTTGCTTTGCTCTGAGTGTCGGCCATATCCCCTTGTCGCTCTCGCTCCACCATTCTACTAAGACTGATGATCTGTTTGTGCCGCCCCACTGTTCACTGATTCATTATGCATCAATCGGGCAGAACCAGCCAGTCCATTTGTTTCTTCATTTCCCAGCACACCTGCATTCCCTGGAGAAAATATCCAAAGGAAGCTGTGCGGGGTGTCTGAAGCAATGCTCACCCCTCTGCACGCAGCTTGCCTGTCTTCACCTTTCACAACATGCCTTGTGAGTCTGTTACAATCACGACATGGTTTTCAAGCCAGCAGAATGCTGAACTCGGCTATAATATCAACAGTTTTTCATGACTTATTCATTCAGATTGAGCAGCAAGCTGAAACTGGAAAATTTGAACGGGAAATCCGCGAAGAGCAAGAGGAAAAGAAAAGACTTGCAGAAGAGGCTAAAGAAAGAAAGAAAGCTTTTTTGGAAAAGGCAAGCATCTTTAACAAAGCAGCCAAATGAAGTCTCATCCAAGCAGAAATTTCTTTGGAGCTGGAAGAGGATTTCAACGCAGTTTCTGGGTTGCCAGTCCCAGAATTCACTTGGGAATAGAAGTTCTTGGGCATCATCTCATGGCTCTGGTATAGATCTTATAATCATTGTAAATTATAAAGCAGAATTGTTGTAGGCACTTGTGTTCATCTTGGTTGTTTCACACAGTAAACATCATGGTTTCAATGTTGACTGCAGCCACTTTTTATTTGGATTTTGCACATAACCATACTTTGTACCCAGTTGTTGCATACGGTCATAACTTCATACCCAGTGGTATACAGCCGGGATTTCATGGTATGTCACAAAAATCAAATGTTTTAGCCATCTGGTCAGAATGGAACAAAATCAGCCTGCAGATAAAGAACAACAGGCTACAAGGCCGAAGACTGACCAAGAAAGAGATGGGTTGGGGGGGGAATAAAAGACAGACTTCAGAAACAAGCTACAGAACTAGCAAAAGACAGGAACCTACATCTAACTCCTCTCTGCACGCTTTCTGGATTAAGCATTCGGGAAAAACAAAGAAGATCCAGACATAACTTTATATCCATCTGATGCATACAGCCATAACTTTTAGCTCATCTTTCATGCAGTTGTAACTTAATATCTCATGTGTTTTGCAATCAATACATTGCACCAGATTATTGCATAGTCTCATCTTGTACCTAGCTTTTGCATATACAGTCAACATTTTGTACCCAACTGTCCCATACAGCCAAAACCTTGTATCAGCTGTTGCATGTACAGTCAGAACCTTGTTACACTTGTAGCCAACTGTTTCCATACAGCCAAAATCTTGTACCAGCTGTTGCATGTACAGTCAAAAACTTGTAACTAACTGTTCCAAACAGCCAAAATCTTGTAACAGCTGTTGCATATACAGTCAAAACCTTGAACCAGCTGTTGCACGTACAGTCAAAACCTTGTACCCAACTGTTCCATACAGCCAAAATCTTTTACCAGCCGTTGCATATACAGCCAAAACCTTGTACCTAGCTATTGCCTGTACAGCTGTATCATTTAAACCCATATATTCCAAACACAAGCAGACTTTGCACCCATTATTGCAACCTTCTTTGTAACCATCATTTTGTACTTGTACTGCATTCAAGCGTACTTTTGTACCTAGTTATTGCATACAACCAAAACTATATCCTAGTGTTCCATACAACAAATTGTTATGCCAAGCTTTTGTATACAACAAATTGTTATACCCAGATATTGAATACTATCAAAAAATGTATACCTGAGTTGAATTGAAAGCTTATATCCAACTATTGACTACAGTCGAAAGCCATCTGTATAAGTTTTAGACTGCATTCAAAAACATATTCATAGCTGTTGATTGCAGTCAAGACCATATACTCAGCTGTTGATTGCAATGAAATATGTTTTTTCAGCTGTTTGTAATACATTTACACCTGTAACTTAATGATACATAATTTTTAATGACAGTATTTGATAAGTATATTTTTAATTTTTGAATATGATGAGATAACAAAGTTATCTTGGGGGGGGGGGGGGGGTTGTCCCCTAAACATTTTTTTTTTCTATTCTTCCACCCTTTTTTGTGTGTGTGTCTTATTTGCTTTGTTGGGTGTGGTACCGAGAATTTTGATTTTTCACTTCATTGCCACAATCTGTTTATATATATCATACCATAGCCCCTTCCGGGAGCTAGCGGCTAGATGCTCGCCTGCGAATCGGAAGGTCATGGGTTCAATTCCTGACAGGGCCAGACTTTTTTTTTTTAATTACCTTGGCTCCCAGGTTGACCCAGCCTTGAGTGGGTACCAGGTGCAGTCCTGGAAAGTAAAGGTGGCCGGCGTGATGCTGGACACATCACCCACCAAGTGCCGTTTGGTCTATAAAATATTGGTCTAGCCCTATATACCTAATACACCTGAAAGGTACATAAAATGATCCTTTACTTTTAATTTTAGCCCCTTCAAGGTTCTTTATTATTTTGCTGATTTGGCACTTTAACCTCTTCATGTAATTTCTGTCATAGGTCTTTATTGTTTCCCATGCAGCTTTCTCTATCTGTATAATTTAATTTTCATTCCTATTATTTTTCATAAATTTTAGGAGTCGTTTGTAGTTTAATGATTTATTAGGTGAAAGACGGAATGTCGCACCTTGCAAAAGGACTAATGCAGGAAGCTATTGTGAGGGGGATTTCTGCGAGAAATACCAGCCTCGGTGTTATGGAGTATCAGCGTTTTTATGCAGACTGTGGGGAAAAGACCTTTCACTTCCAGACATGACTTTAGTCATAGCAGACGCTGTTCCTGAAACCGCGCAGCTTCATGGTCCATAGGGACTGATGGTTGCTTACATACATGCAGTAATTTCTAACTGCCTGGTTAAGAGAGAGATTGCAGAGTGTTTTAATATTATTATTTTTTCTCTCAAGTTTTCTTTTTATCCAAGATCTAGTTTTGTGACTGTGTAGCACAAGTTTGCATGTGTGTAAACGTACATATATTTATTGGTATGCATGGTTCCTTACAAGTGCTATGTTGCCAAAGAAGCATTGCCAAATAACATTTTAAAGAACTGTTAAACATTGTACTTTTTCACCTGAGAAGCCACAGACCGACTCTTCAGGTTGATACTATTTCCTATAAGAGTCGCTTTCCAGACTCACTATAAAGCCATGTTTACGAGACGTCTAGCTAGCGTAATTCATTGCATCTGTGTCTGCGCAAATGTTCAGCGTGACAGGGGATGACATAATTCAACAGAAAAATAGCTTTGGGGGAGGGGGAGAGGTTTTTTTTTAAAGGCTTAGTTTATATAAATTTTTTATTTAATATTTTCCCATTGTCTACATGGGTAACCAGGTCACAGGGCCAAGTAAATGCCACACTATAATTAGTTTACAGGCCCAAAGATATGTAAGCCAGTTGATTCTATGCTACATTCGTTTTTTTATTGATTGCTCCTCTTACTCTCTATATAATTTGTTCCTATTTTGGATAATACATTATTTTTGTGCAATATGTTTTGGGATGTAAAGTGGCTGTTTAAGGATTGTTGGAGGAAATTTCCTAGAAATGAAAATTACGGGAGCTTGGTATTGTGTTTTTTTATTTAACCACAGAGAAAGGGTTAAAGAGCTAATCAGATGAATTATTATGACAACACACTTTCATTATTGTAAAAAGAAACAGTGTTTTCTTTATTTATTGAACTGATCTCACTGCAGCAATATTAAATACTGTCGATTTTGTCAGTATTTCTTGTGATATTCATTATATTCCGTTTCATGTGGCAGATCCTTTGCATTGCAACACCCCCCATTAATGTTCTACAGAATTATCATGTAGGAAATCGGGTCCAGCTCTCGTACCCATCATCAGTATTAATCTTATAGTTTCTATTGGCAACCTAGCTCCTTCAACCTATTTGCTGTTTTTTTAAATCCGCTTTCTCTCCATTTCAATCACCAACCTAACATAGTCTACAGGTTATTTGTAACCATAATATATGACCCCCAATGTAACTGCTATATGATTATATGATTGAATTAAGTTTTTAGGATTTCTACCTGTTTGATTCTCATTCTTGAGATGTTAATCCCACAGACATTCTGGAGGGGAAACATTTGTGTACACAATGTTTACTTCTCTTTTTCTGATAGTCTGTCAGTATGCCGCAACGATTTCAGTCTATTCGCCCTCGTGATGTCAGTGATCAGTGGTGATTTAAATAGATTATGAATTTCATTTGGTGCTTCTCACTCTCCATTCCTTGCTGTTTGCATCTTTGATGGGTCCAAAGATTCATCATAAGACACTGTTTTTGAAAATGTATAATTAGGCTTCATCTACTTAGAGACATAAAGTTAGTTGCTTATCCTTTACAGAGCGTTGCAGAATAAACCCTAGCATTTTTTGGCTGTTGTGGTTTTTGTAGGCAAATTTTACGTTCAGTAGTTTGCCATTGCTTACTGAACGGTCAGCTTTCGGTACCACTATCGAAACCAACACAAGACAAACCGTCTGCAGCTGGAATCGAACCTGGCACCCTGGCAAAATGAAGCTCGTTTGCAACGCCTAAGCCACAGGAGCTGACACTAAGAGACATACAATGTTGTAAAATCAGTTAGGCTGCACAAAAACACAGTTAAAAGTACCAAAATGCATTTATGTATTGTTTTTATCTACTAGATATATACACCAGTACAGTATTTCTTGTCTCCAGCTAAATGTACATGCCAGCCTTATAATTATTCACCATTTTTGTATTTATCTTGAGCAGTGCAATGTGAAAAATATCACCATTTTTACAAATCACAGTTCACTGTGGTAATATTTAAGTTGTGAAGTCACCTTGAACAATGAGGATTACATGTACACTTTGTTAATCAAATTGTGATTTAACACCACTTAATCAATCTCACCTTGATATGATCATTTATACAATTTGCTCATTCCTATTATTGTATGATAAGACGTTCACTTTATAATTCACAGCCTAATATAATGATATCTTCTTCTTACTTTATCTTTTATTGCTTCGGGTGTCGATGGAGATATACGGTTCTGCTTCTTGCTCTTCCGGCTGCCCCAGCCAAGACACATCCTACAGTTGTAGAGTTTCTCTGGTGTTATCTTTCCATGTTGTTCTTGATCTGCCTCTTGCTATATGTCTCTCTTATCTTTTGAAGTATGCCTTGTATGGTATGGCATCACAAGATATTCTCGTTAATTGGGTAAACTATTTTATTTGCCATCTTTGTATATAATTAGAATTGAATCTATGCCAGCTTGTCTGTCATGACCCATTCCTAATTACTATTCAAGATGGTGAGACAACTGGATGTTTTATTTTTCAGCCAGCATCTAACTGGGGTCACTTTCAGACATCCCAGAGTGGAATTTGTGTTAAACTAGTCTGAATGTGATAGTCTGGTTCTTGTGTGACCTTCTAGAAAGTTTAAAAACACTGTGACTGGTCCA